ACTCTGGATTAGGCAATGGATTACAACGTGGAGAAAAAGAGACTGGACTGGTAAGGTTATGTCTAGAAAAGGAAATTATGCTGCTTGATTGATGCACCCAATTAAAACTGTCTGAAAGAGCTCAAAATTCAATCACAGGCACAGGGAAGTGCTCACAAATGCTCTGAAGAGCAATAACTGTTCATACAAATTATTTAGGAGAAAATTTGTAGAAGAAAATGTGCTGGAGAAAAATCCAAACTTTTCACAGTCAGTTCTGGAGTAGAAGCTGCCAAAAGTCATTAAATTATTCACTAACCATCAATTGTTCAGCTCAGTGTATCACAAAAGTTATTGATTAGGAAGTTTATAGGAGTTGGATGTATTTACAGAAATGGGTTTCTCTTCCTTCTTGTTACTTTGTAGCATGTTGGGATTTTCTTTAAAAAAATGCAGAGGGATTAAGTTGTGCATTATTTATGGCAAATGCTCCCTGCTCAGATCCTGAGCTAATGGGGATGGCACCATGAGAATTTTTTAACTATTCAATATTGCATTTCACTTTTCTAAATGAACAGCCTTTGTCTAAAAAATACATTGGAGATAATGAGAGAAGAGCCAAGCAAAAATCACAGACATAATACTTATGAAAGAGTAAAAGCTTTCTGGTGGTTGTTTATCAAAATCTTTGCTGTTTGAAAAGCAGGGTTGTTTTTTTTTTTTCTTTTTCCTCTCTTTACTCCAGCTCATCAGAACTTTCCCCAGGTGGGATTCAGCAGCTTTTTACCTTAGAGCAGCACAAATTCTTGACTCTGAGACTGGGCAGTGTTGGGTATCATTTATTATAAATCCTTGGAAGTGGCTGGCACCTACAGAGGGATCCACTTAGACAGAAATAGAAATTAATGAATTAATTTCTATTACAGGGGATCAGAAACTTTTCACTGTTCACTAACAGAGACAAAAATGCCTCCTCTTGAGCTCTGAATTCCAAGTGTGTGGGAGAAGGTTTCCTCCCAAAGCCACAAAATGTAAATGCCTATTTCCAGCTGTGCAGAGGTGCAGGGCTCCTGCAGCACTCACTGAGATCGGGGGGAAACAGGAGTGTGCCAGACATCTCATCTGCCTGCTGTGGGATGGAAGTGCAGGGGAAAGTAGGACAAGGAGTGCTCACCCTCTGATTACTGTGATCTGGCATATGCTTTTAATCTCTTGGAAGGAGCAGGAGAGTTTAAGCCTGAGAGGATTAATGTGGTAGTTTGCTTTACTTGTGCTTTGTAAATGGAGGCTTAATGTTTGCAGTGCCTTACCCTGTCCCAAATCTCCCCAACTCTGGCATGCTGTTATTTCTGGATTTGGCCCTTATGCAAAATCAAAGGTAGTAAAATTCCTTTGGAGTGTGGATGAGAGCCCAGCCCGTGGGTGTGGATCTGTAACAAGCTGATCCTGACTGTGATTCTAAAACTCCTCCAGTGCAGTGCCTGTGCTGCGGATCTGGGAACTGGAGGTGTGGAGGGAGGTGCCAGACTGTTCCTGAGAATCCCTCACTGCCAGCTCAGCACAGCTATTGTTACACAAGAATATGCAAAATAATGCAAAATAACTGGGGCTGATTTCAGTGTCACTTCTGGGAGTTTCTGTGCCGGCAGCCACAAATCCTGGATGCTGAATGCCAACATATGCCAGTATGGAAAAGGCCTGTTGCTTTCAGTGGAAATCATTTTACAGCCTTCATTTCCTGCAGGCTGACAGGATCCACTGTGGCAGCACCAGGAGAACGCTGGGCACTGCTCAGTGAGGGGCTGGAGAAAGCTGATGACTAAAAAGGACAAAACCATCTCCCTTTTTAGGGCTTGTCCCTTTTGCAGTTACTTTGGGAAGGTTCTTGCATTGCTAAGCCCTTTTTCACCGGTGGCCTGAAAGCAACAGATGTTTGACTGTTGCAGATTATTTAGACAATTTCTTCCTAGGAAAATGCGGAGTTGTGCTTACCAAGGCTTAGGGTTGAGGTTCAGTGTCCACAACTGGAGTTGCAGGAATTAAGCAGAAGTGATTTTTAATGAGGAATTGCAATTGGTTCCTTGCTCCCTGGCAAACTGAAAAAGACACCAAATCAATCAAAACTCAGTGCAAATTATTCATCTGACTGGACTGAGTTTAGCACAAACAACCCAACGTTGCAGCAATAAAAAGCCCTTTGCTCTGAGGGGCAGCAGAGCCCTGAACCCAACGCAAGGCTGAGCTAAAAAGCTCCAGTTTGGGTCTCAGGTCCTTCCCCATCCCAGCTGAACAGACACTTGTAATTTCCCAGACTCTGCAGGGAATACAGTGGGTGTTTAATGCAGGGAAAAAGTGCAGGAACCACCAACATTTCACACCCAGTCTTAAGAAAGGTACCAAGCTGGATTAGGAGAAAAATTAATTTTTCAGATTAACAAATGTTCAAATCCTGGATCACTGTGCTGGTGAGACAGATGTTTAATGAACTCTTTAGAGGTGGTATAAATTGGCACAGCTTCAATGGAGCCCACAAAAATAACTGGCCCTGACTTTATACAAATATACAGTAATGATCTCCCTTTCTTGTGTTGGGAAGCTTTTATCCTCAAAAGCCACGTTCCATGTGAATTATCTTCATCATTTTCCCCCATTTTAAGCTACAGGCTCTGGCCTCTCTATTTAACCATAGCACTTTCTATCAGAAAATCAGGCAGTGCTTTCTAAGGGTAGCTCATGCATTGAATTCAGCTGTCACAGCTACTTGTGCTGCCTTGGGTAATTGGTTCCTCACAAATCTTTATCTAAAATATAAAGGCAAATCACTATTAAAAACCTTAACCTAAATGGCAGCAGTAAATTAGCTCACAAATTTCTTTTACTGCTGCGTTTTGCTTGGATTTACTCAGCCCATCAATCAGAGCTGGGCAGGAGGTTTGCAGGGTGGCCACGAGGGGCTGAGCCTGGAGCTGAGGAGGCTGAACCAGGAATGATCTGAGCTCTTCTCCATACAGGGTCTGCAGGTCCTGCTGCTTCCTCAGGATCACAGGACTCTGTCTCCATTTTAAACACCTGTGGGATTGCTTCAGGGATCATTTTTTAGCCGTAGGATGGGAGGAAGTTGGTGGGGACTCAGCTTTCTCCAGTGAGCAATGGTTGGAGCCACCACTGAGACCACAAGGCAGTGGGATTTGGCTTCCTCTTTATCCCCTTTGGTTTGAACTCATGTGCACAGAAAAGTGCTGGGAAATGGGTGGAAAAGGGCAGGAAGAGCCAAGGAAATTATGGCTGAAAGAATTGTGGGGGAGTTTCAGGCAGGGCAAGGCAGAGGGCCTTGCTGGACTGAGCCTCCTGTCTCCTAAAGAACATTTCCAGGAATTGTCCAACCCCCAGACTGTTAAGCCTTGGGAAAGCAAAGATTTGGGCTGTAAATACTTTGGTGAGGTCAGTTGGTGGTTCTGACTCTGAAGCTGCAGTTTGATTTGTCCTCTCAGAGCAGTGGGTCCTTGCCCCTTGAATCTGACTGAGCTCTGTGTCTGCCAAACCAAGTCCTGGGATTGTCTTGTAAAGGTCACTCGAGCTCCTGGGTGCTCTTTCAACCTGCAAGGCTGAGGAGATCCATAAAATAAAGATTTGCTTCTGCTCCTTAGGGCTGCTGGCTAAAAGGGTTGGTGAGTTCATGGAGCTGCACAAGGAATGTCCCAGGCTGTGGAATTTATTCACCTCAGGGCCACTTCTCAGGGTTGTTGGGGTGTTAAGAGGTGAATTTGGATTTCAGAAGTGTTACTTGAAGATGAACTTCAGAAAACAGATGTTTTTTCTGGACCTGGAGTGCCTTGCTCTTTACAGCAGCTGTTCTGTAAATGCTGAGGGTTTTAGTGATGTGTAATAGCAGATTCTTAGACAAATTCACCCAGTTCAGCCAACAAGCATTTTGTAATATAGATGAGATGAAATAACTGGATTTTCCCTTTTTATGCTGGGGGTGGATTTTTGCCCCCCCATATTCAAAATAAGTTTTCCTCAGAGGGAGGTGCTGTTCTAGAGTTCAGTGAAATTGTGACACCAACACTTTAAAAGCTCCTTGACACCAGTTTGCAGTGGATTTTGTTGCTAACTCAGAATGGTCTCCATGGTTCCCCCAGTCTCTGAATTCCTCTGTGATGTCAGAGTGTTTGTCCGTGTCTTCCCCATGCCATGTAAATCCTGTGTCATGTATAGCATTAGACTGGTGTGAGGTGTGATTTATGTCATTGCTGGAGCTAAAGCATGAGAAGGAGCAGCCAGTATTTAACGTCCTCACATTCCTCTGTCCTAATGCAGAAAATCTTTTATACACAAATCTTCCAAGTACTTCTGGCTCAGGTTCTGCATTTTCCCTTTTGTTTGGGTTCTGAATCCCTGCACACCAGCCCTGGTCAGCCTGACCTCCTATTTCTGCCACCTGTGCTCCACAGTACAGATTGTCCAGAAATTCTGGAGCAGAAATGCTTCTCTATAAATCATGCCCATCAACACCTGAAATGTGTTGTTCTTCTTTCTGAGCTGTAAATACATTTAAAAGCCATTTTGCCATTTATGTTCCCTGTGGGCTTGTTCCAGTGCAGGTCTGCTGTTTGTGTTTTCCAAGTCACTTCTTTTGCTCCTGCAGCTCAAATATCAGCAGATCAATTGGGTGCTGCAGTCTCAGTCTCTGTTACAAATTCCTCTACAAACTTGGCCAAATCCCTGGATTTTTCAGTGTTCTGTTTGTAAGCTGTGAAATGGCACCTGACTCTTCTCTCGTGGTGCTTTTTACCTTTTTTAAGCAGTCTGTGTAACCTTGGCAGAATTATAAGTTAAAACTTATTAAGAACAGTAATCATGGTCTGAAATTGGTTGTGACCTTCACATTCAGTGAGGTGGGGCAGGGCAAAGCTGCTCATTGCTTTGCTACAATTTCCTGTAAATGTAAGCCTTACATTCATTTCTTTGGTTTAACTGAAAGGACTTCTCTTTTCTTTGTTTTTCAGGAATGCCAGACCTCGTGCAAATCATGTTGGGGTGTTCTGGAGCAGGACTGCTGCCTCTGCCCCCACACTGCAGCTGCCATGGGGCTGTCCCTCACTGACCCTCACTGTTCCTGCTCCATCCAGAGCATTCCCAGCTGTGCTGAGCAGGACCTGGTGCTCTCAGGGAGAGGTGAGTCCTGACCAGCTCCCTGTGCCCTGGTTCCCATCTGAAAGGTGAATAGAAAGCTGTTCCTTCCCTCTATTCTTTGACAGCAGTAAAAATGTTTGAGGTTCTTTAAGGTTTTCTAGGTTGGTGGGGTTTTTCTGCTTGTGGGAGTTTCCAAAGGAGACTCATGCCCACACAGGGCTGGAGGAGGAGGAATCCCTCCCTCTGGCTTTGTGCAGTCCTTGCACAATGGGGTGCTGAAAATCCCCTAGTGCTTTATAGACTAACTAAAACTAATTATATTTATCTTTTAATTGAGCCCCTTTGGGGCAGCAGCTGGTGCAGTTTGTGGATATTCATTACTTTTTTAGTGCCCTTTTTCCTGGGTTCAGCTGGCTCCTTTTTTCCCAGCCAATTCCAGCTGCCTGAGTAGGGGAGCAGCCTTTGGAAGGGGCACATGGGCTTGAGAGCTCTTGAGGGGAAGCTTCAGTGTTTGCACCAAAGAGAGTCTATGGAACCTCAGCTCCCTCAAAAGAATTAATATTTGTGTGTAAGAGATTTTTATCAACTTGGAAAGGCTGGTGAGGGTGGGGAGATGCAGTAATTTTGTTTCTATAGAGTGTCTGGAATGTTCTTACATCTTTTTCCCTGAAAGCACACTCTGAGTGTTGGATGCTGATTTGGTCCCAGGCTGTGGAAGCTCCTGAGAGACTGATTCTTTCTTGGAATGTCCACATGGACACATCCAATGGAGAAGAAAGCACAGTCTGGCTCCTCAGGTTGGGGGAAGGCTGGTTCACAAGTAACCATGGCAACCAGGCTGTCACTGGGAGCACCAAGACATTTTCATACCAAAAATAAAATAGCCCAAACACACAACAGACATTCCCACTCCAGCCTCCTTGGAGATCCTACCTCAGTTTTGTTCCTCAGGGATCCTGGCAGCAGCAGCAGGTGAGGAGATTTTTCCTTCCTCTATCTCCTGCACCAGCAGCAAACATTGTTTCTGATGATAAACTTAATAATGGCTTCCAATTAAAAGGGGATATTTGAGTTTTGAGTTGAAGAAACACTGAAGATAATTTTATGTTCACCTTAAAAAGTTTCCATCTGTCACACACTTCCCAAGCCAGTGTGCTCACATCAATATTTATATCAGCCAGCCCAGTGTTTTCACAGAAAAGCCATTAATACAACATATCAGCTCTGGTGACAAGTTACATTTTACATTGCTGTCAACAAACAAAGATGTTCTTTGTCTGCAAACTCCCCTTTTTTCCCTTTTCTTAATCAATCGTTAGGTTTGAGTTTTGAAGGAAATGTGTAGATGTGCTTTCCAATGTTTGCTGGAGACAAGACAGATGGAGCTTGTAGGAGCTGATGGAAGGCACTGATTAATTTTCCTAGGAAATAAAATAACAGTTTTGGTGCAGGTTCTTTGCTTGGCATGATGAAACTCGCCAAATTCCTGAGGAGAACCAGGCAACTTCAGGAGGTGAGTCCCCAAAATAAAGATTTAATTTTGAAAACGCCTCAGAGTATTGATCACAGCGCTGTTGTTCCGGTTTAATGCCATTTGTACTTGTTCCCATTGTTAAGGGGACAGGGGCCAGATCAAAGCCATAACACTTGGGAGTCTCGTGTCACTGCATTGTGGAGGCACTGCACACTTCCAGGTGTCCCTGTCCTGCTCAGAGGGGCGTCCCTAGGGCTCTGCCACACCCCTCACACCCCTCTCCACATTCACCCCTGCAACTTGACATGAGATCTTACACGAGCCCTCTGGAAACCAGTGTTTGGATGCACTCTGTGAACCATGGCACTGTTTCTTTTTCTTCCCATGCCAATGACTCTGTTAAGAGGTTTGTCAGTGTGTATGGAAGTAAAACATTTGATATAAGTGGATTTTTTTTTTCAAACAAACATCAGTTTAAAAAGCTACTCATGCCAGTGGAACTAGTCAACTCCAGTGATTTTAGTTGGATTTAAGCAGCAGTAGAAGAAAAATGGCATATCTGAACCAAACATGTCAGCCCTGCAGCTGGTTAATGGAACTGTAACTGTGTAACGATCCCCTGCTAATACCCAATTTTTAAGCCACTTAAAATCAGATAAAATAGCTCCATTCCACAAAATATCCATTGGGTCAACTGTGCCTTATTGTTCAGAATTCCCTTTTTCAGTCCTTGTGGAGCTGTCCAGCTGTCAGATCTGTTATAGCAGCCAAATGACCCGCACACACCTGCCCTTATTCCTTATCATGGGCTCCAAGGGAAGTTGGGAGCACCTGGGAATTGTCCTCAGCTTCCACTGAATTTTGGAGCTGATAACAGACTCCCATTTCTCTGAAGGAGGAGTGTGTCATCATTGGTGTTCTGCCTGGTTCTGTTTAATTGCTCTTTATTAAGAGCATCCTCAGGCATGGGATAATCCATACAGAGACCATGATCCATCCTGACTGAGCTGCATCCCATGGCTTGGGAGGAACCTGCTGCAAGGCTCAGCCAGGTAAGACTCCCAAAGGTGCAGAAAAACCAAATGCAAGGTGGTCTCCTCATGAGGGTAAAGGAGCTCATGTGTTCAGTTTTCTGTTCATCATTTTCCTCTCCTATTCTGCCATCTGGTTCATCTCTCATCTCGTTTGGAAAAGCAAGGGACAAATGGAAACACACCCAGAGATAATAACACTGCTCTGACAGTGCCATGATGGGATAATGATCACCCTCACTGTGCTCACTCATTTGGCTCTCATTTGAAGGTCATGGCTTGGAGTATCTCTGTGAACAGAGCTATGGCCAAAGTAGGGGGGAAAATTCCAGACTGGGATCAAAATGTAGAACTCTTAAAAATCCTCTGCAAGCCCTAGGAGTCCATATCTGTCCACATACAAACTGTAGTTGTAATTTGTGTAGTCTGAAGGTCTGGGCAGTCCATGAGCTGTTGTTCCAGCTCATGTAGACTGCAGGCATCTCAGTGGTTCATCCAGCTCCAGCTGACTTTAAATTGGGAGCTGGTGACCTCCCAGAAATGCACTGGGGATTCCAGCTTTACTGAGCTCAATGTTAACTCCCTCTGACTCTGAAGGCATTGGGATCATGTGGCCAGTGCCCAATATGGTGACACTCAGAAATAAAAAAAAAAACAACAAAGGGAAATCACCTTTTTTTGCCTTGTCTACTTCCAGTTTTACAGCTGCAGCAGAGTAAGGGAATGTTGCATTTATGCTCTTCAGCTGGATGTACCATTGGATATTTTGGTTATCAGTGTGGAAAAAGCCAATTTGAAGTAATCTACTGAAAAAATAATTTTGAAGGTGTTTTTAATGTCTTGCTTTAAGAACAAGAGTGGCTGAAGCTTGGATTCAGGTGGCAAATGCAATTTCCTGTCCTGAATGGCAATGTCAGTGTGGTAATTAGACCGTGAAGGACAATACTAATTTTAAGGTGTATGTGGGTGGAGAAAAAAAAATATTGAAATAATCAACATGTGAAATCATAAGTGAATCCAGTTTCCTTGACAACTTCTACTGTGCAGCCTGAGTATCCCTGAGAATTCCACTGGGAAGCAATGGGCAGCAGGTACTTACTGGAGGTGGGAATGCTTTTGAGGGACAGCAGTGGGAAACTCTGGTTCAAACCTGTTTTACGTCTGCTTTTGTTCTTCCCATCGAGCTCTGTGTCATTGTTTTCACTTCCCATTGAATTGTTGGTGGTTCCTTTCCCTGGCAGAGGTGGGTATGGCACTGGGAAGAGCTGTGGATAAGTTTGTTGAAGTCCCTTTTTATTTTCACTGAGAAATTGAATGGTCATTAAATTGTGTTACATAAGTAGTTACAGCAGAAGAGCCTTTGGTTAGAGATAGACCAAAACCAGTTTAAAAAGCAGTAGAAAAGTATTTTGCTTTGGTGTTTCAGATGCAGCAGGCCCTACAACCATGCTCTGGACTGATGTATTCAGTCCCTCTGCTTCATGCACTAAGTCATCCCAACTGAAGCATCAAAGAGCTCACCAGCCTTATAAAAAAGAGGAAGTGTTGGGTTGTTTAGCTTTTCCCATCCACCATTTCAATCTTTGCATGATATCTTCAAAGATTTTCTTTTTAATAAAAATGGAATTGCTCTGAAATCCCATGAGAGGTCCTTTCAGGGAGAAAATAAAATTGCAAGACCCTAAAAATCACAAGGAATGACAATGAAATTGGGTTACAGATTTAATTGGCTTTAGTTGGAAAAACCAGCTACTGGAAAAAAACCTCAAATGTAGCTAAACAATAGTGCAGGTCAAAGGGAGTTCCTGAGGAGGGGGGGAAGGATTATAGGGGATCAGGAAAGGAACAAGGGATGTTTAAACCCAAAGAGGAAAAACAGAATAATTTGCTTTATATATCTCCACATAAACACAATTTTATATATGTATTTATATGTGTAGATAAATACATAAATTCTATTGCCCGCTGTAAATCTTTTTAGATTTCTTGTACAAAATATCATTATTGGGATAAAAAGTTGAAAGATATTCTTTAATACTCTCTCTTCCATTGCCTTTTCTATCTGTGGTACTTGCAACAAAAGTGGAGCTAATTCTGTTTCATGTTTGGGCACACAATTTGACCAGAGGAAACTGCCACAGCACTGATGCTGCAGGGTTTTTAGATGAGTGACCCAGTGTAATTCCCAGGGGCTAAACACCCTCTGGAACCCAATGCCAGCTCAGGCCAGAAGGGCAAACCTGGCACATGGGCCCAAAATCACTTTCCTGTGCTGGTTGTTGACAGCAGCAAAGCCTCTACAGGAGCTGGGTGTGCTGAAAAGGACAACTTATTGTGATTCTAGAGAACTGTGATCAGGATTTACAACTCCACTGCATCCTTGATATAACCAACACCAGATGGTAAATGAAGGAGTTTGTGAGGTATTTCTTTAGTTTCTCCAAGGTGCTGGTACCAGATCTAATGCCAGCTGCTCATCTTAATATGAACACTTGCTGGTGTGTAAACTCAGCCTAATCCCCTCAAATAGCCACTTCTTTACTGTAATTGATATGTGACCTTTGTGAGCAGAGTATCTGAGAACACAGGGAGGTTAATGTATTCTGTCTTTTCTCACCAGTGTGAGGCACTGAAGTAATAATCTCTCGTTAGAGAAGGGAACAGAGGGCACACGTCATGTCCAATATTTTACCTGTGGCAGAGCTGTGAACTAACCCAGCTCTCCAGAGCCAGGCTCAGAGCTGGAGCAAAGAGGGCTCCTTGCTCTCACCAGACCATCCATGGGATGAATTGCAGTGCACATTTAGAAGGCACTGCAAGCTTCTGAATCCAGGATACAAATTTTCCTCTGCAGATTTTGCCTTCATTGCTCTTGCTCAGCTGCCAGGGTGGTGGTGTCGTGTTGTAGAGTTCTGGGATTGCTGGAGGAAAGCAGTGCTTTGGTGCTTGGGGCAAAGACAGCAGAGGCTTTTCCTGAAACTATTCTGTGTGGCTCTGCGTCAGAGAAAACGCCTCTCTCATGACAGAGGCAGTGCTGAAACACTTTGGGTGAGAAAGGGTGTTTATTTGAGGACACGCCTCCAAGGCTTTCAGAAGCATAGCAGAGGCATTCCCATGTCTTACAGCACACAAGGTCATCCACTGCACTCACAGCAATGCCATTTAACTTTGCCTTTCTCTAACCCCAGTGCCACTCCTAATAAAGGCCACAGCCTTGGAATCAGGATGAACCTGGAGCCTGAAGGAGCCAGGCACACTCAGGAGAGGGCAAGTAGCTGCCTTGCTGGGATTTGGCCCACATAACTCTGGACTCATACTTTGGTTTTGGTTTTCCTTATTGTAGCTGACCGAGAGGCTCACAGGCGATCACGGGGCCCTCCGAGGCAGACTCATTTCAGGTGCAACGTGGATCCACATCACTGATCATCCAAAAGATAAGTTGGGGGCCACAGCCTGAAGATGGGAGAGTAGCTCCAACTTATGGTTGGAGCTGCCCTGCCCTGGCAGGTAGTCACAGTTAGGTATAACAGTTATAGAAATTTTACTGTACATCTGTCTTCTATGGGATTTTGGGTAGTAAATTTATCAGCCCAGAGTGGGGACAAGTCCGAGCTGTCAGATAGCCACTCGTTGACCCTTCCTGCTGTCTCACTGGTCCCCGAGGCTGCTGATTTCCCCAATCTACCATTTGAATCTACCATTTGATGTCAGGGATCTGCAGCCAGAGGATGTGTTGAAGCACGTTCTTCAGCGTCTCAGGTAAGGGCTGCAGCGAGCGTGTAAGTGGAAAGAGTGTGTGAGCGTGTGTGAGAGCACGTGGCTGTGTCTGCTCATCTCTGCATGTGTGAGCGCATGCTGACTGGATTTAACCTTGTGTTTGTGACTTTTGCTTTTCAGGTTTTGCAACTCATTGTTAAGTTTAGAATAAAAAATACCCAGCTGCCTCCCCCCGCCCACCCCGCACCCCCGGTTTTTTGGGGGTTTTTTTGTTTTTTTTTTTTCTTGGTCCTGGTCAAGTAAAAACCCAGAAAAATACTCCAAGATAGGCTAGAAAAGACCCAAAAAAACCCAGTAAAAAAATCCAAGATGTGCAAGAAAAACCCAGGAAAAAAAACAGAAAACAACCCCAGATGGGCAACAAAATACCCCCACAAAAACCCAGGAAAAAAACCCTCAAGATGGGCAAGAAAAAATCAAGAAAAAACCCAGAACAATCCCGGGAAAAAACCTCAAGATGTGCAAGAGCAAACCCAGAAAAAAACCCTAAAAAACCCCAACATGGGCAAGAAAAAAAAAAAAAAAATCCCCCCAAAAAAACCCCAAATTGGGCAGGAAAACCCCGGAAAAACCCAGGAAAAAACCCCAAGATAGGCAAGAAAAAATGAAAAAAAAACCCCAGAAAAATCACAGAAAAAAACC